AAGAGTCCACTGAAGCAGATGTCTCCCCTCGCACCTGCGTCCCAGTGGTCTTGGCCTGCAGTGCCGCCCAGCCTCTGCTCACATGACCAGCAATGTGATTCCCTAGGGGCTCCCCAGAGACGGTGAGGGAGGCCTTGTTTTGCTGAAAGTGAGGGCCTTCTGGGGAGGGGGGGTGTCAGAGCTATTTTGTATCTCCTTGGACTGCTGGGGGCTGTCACTGGCCTGGCACCTATGTGGGCTCTCGGGTTTCCCTAGGAAACAAGTAGCTCAGACTCCTCCCTGAGCCCTCTTCCTGTGTGCTGGGGGGGCGGGGGAGGGGAGGTAGGCCCCCAGGAGAGTCTTTCCTGAAGAGTGAGCAGTCGCCAGGCCCGTGGCTTTCCCGGCTCTGCTAGACTCCTGCTGCCTCCTACACTCTTCTCCCTCCAGCGCCAAGGACCTTAGAGGATGGGGGAGGGAGGGCGGGGGTAGGAGTCCCATTGTGGCCCCAGCACAGCTGGAGTGCAGCTGCTGCTGCAGATTGGACTCCTGGCCTCCCTCCCACCTGGGACCTCTCCTGCCTCTGGGAGTCAAGCCTGGGGAAGGCTAGATATTGGAAGGCAGGACAGGGAGGGAGCACAGCAGAGGCGTGCCGGCTGTGTGCTGGTTCACCTGGGTGCCAGTCTTATGTGCATGTGTGTCTGACCCCTGTGGGGAGCAGGTTTGTGGATGCATGAGTTTCTTCCCTCATCTGCACCTGGGTCTATGCTATGTCTGTTCAGGAGTGTGCCCCACCCTCTGCCTCATGTCCTTTGTGTGTGCACAAATGCCTGTCTTGCTTTTCTTTTGTAAGAGAGAAAAGGGGAGAGAGAAACATCGATTTGCTGTTCCACTTATCTATGCATTCATTGATTGACTCATATGTGCCCTGACCGGGGATCAAACCTGCAACCTTGGCAATTCAGACGACGTTCCAACCAACTGAGCTACCCGGCCAAGGCACACATGCCTGTCTGTGTGCTCATGGATGTGCATACATGGGTATCCTGGGCATGCCCGTGGAGGTACACACATACATGTGTGCTCTGAGTGTGTATGTGGGTGTCCTGAGTTTGCATTTGCATACCTGACTCTCAGTGTGCACGCCTGACCCCATGTGCTTGCAGGTGTATGCGAAGGCCTCACATGGTGGGAGGCGGTATATCTGTGTTTATGCACACTTCCATTTTTGTGTCCATAATCCTTACCCCCTGGCCTCAACTGGAAGGAAGACTGGTAGAATCTAGGCCCCAGGAGAGCCTGTGCCGGCTGGGGGGGTAGCTGACGCTGAGTCTCCCTCCTCCGC